GACCTGGATGAACTTTCAGCAACTGAGACTGAGAAAGAACAAGGTGAACAAGGTAAGTGAACAAGGATAGAGTACTGTCATGATAACATAGAGAGACCAGAGTCCAGAAGGTGGCTGATAGTGTCAAAGGCTGCAGAGACATCAAGAAGGATGAGGCTTGTGAAAAGACCATTAGATTTGGCAATTAAGAGACCATTAATGACTTTGGAGAGATCCATTTTGGATGAATTTTGAGGTCAGACACCAGACTGCAGAGAGTTGAGAAGAGAGTGAGAAGAAAGAACGTGAAGCCACCAACTGTAGCTAGCTTTTTCAAGGAATTTAAACACAAAAGGGAGGAGAGATAGGGAACAGAAAGTTGGGAAGAGGTAGAAAATGGGAGAGACAAGGGCATACTTGTAGGTGCTAGGGAAGCAGCCATGGAGAGAATGAAGATAAGTGAGAAAGTGGGAATGTCAGAAAGGTCCAAGCTACTGGTGGGATGGAACGAGATCACGTGGCTTGTTAAAGACATTTTGTCCTGGCAAAATGGTTCAAGTCTGTAAGATGGTTTGGTATGAGGGAAGAGATGAGTTCTGCTTTGAACATGTTCTATAGGCAGCTGTGCAGGACTAGCTCAGCAAAAAGACTATATATATATGTATATATTTATACACATTTATCTATATGTATATCAGTTACATAGTATCTATATAATATGTATATGCATCGATTACATATTCAATACATAGTTGTGCAGAACTAGAGCTCAGCAGAGAGAGCTATATATATGTGTGTGTATACATATTTGTGTGTGCATTTTTGTTGTTCAGTCGTGTCCAATTCTTCATGACCCCATTTTGGAGTTTTCCTAGCAAAGATACTGGAGTGGTTTGCCATTTCCTTCTCTAGCTTATTTTACAGATGAGAAACTGAGGCAAAGAGGATTAAGTGACTTGCCCAGGGTCATACAGCTAGCTGCCCTACATATGCATATATAAATTTAAATATATCTATTTATGCATACACGTTGGAGCAGGTAGGTGGCACAGTGGATGGAGTACTCACTGGGCTTGGAATTAGGAAGACTCATCTTCATAAGGTCGAATCAAGCCTCAGGCACTTACTACCTGTGTGACCCTGGAAAAGTCACTTGACCCTGTTTGCCTCAGTTTCCTCATCTGTAAAATGAGCTGAAGAAGGAAATGGAAAAACAGTATTTTTGCCAAGAAAACCCCAAATGGGGTCATGAAAAGTTGGATGCAACTGGAACAAATGAACAAAAAAATCCAAATGTATATGCATCTGTGACATGGAGATGAATGAATTGATAAGGTCAAAACCCGAACAAGCATAGGCAGAGAAGAAGAGGGTCTAGGATACTTTCAGGTATCCTTACAATTAGGGGCAGTGTTAAGTTGCTTGCCTGTGATATCATACCTAATGAGTCTGAAACAGATCTGATACGCAGCCTGACACATGAAACATGCTTAACATAGCTAGATCCTGATTAGCGTAAATAATGAATCCTCTGAAGTGGTCACATATATTTGAATTCATGCTATTTGAAATTACAATTATGCAAAATATAGTTATTGGTTTCAGACCAATGGAAATATGCAGTGCAAATTCAAATAATGCAACTACTTTGATAGGATTCCTAATGCATCCTAATCATGAACTAGCTATAAATATTTGTGGACTGAAAAACTCTACCCATTATACCACACTGCATAATATCTCTAAGCCTCTATTTTCTAATCTATAAAATTAAGATAAGAGTCTAAATGATCTCTAAATCTATTATATTATACCTGCCTGCATCTCAGTTTCCTTATGGAGAAAATGAAAGGTTTGGACTTCTATTTATGATGGTGAGGAATAAGATGTAGAAAGGAGCCAGTTCTCTCAAAAATACTCCAGGCAAAGTTCTAAAAATGCAGCAGAAGAAAAAATGCTATGGAAAACAAAAAGAAATAGCAAAAAGCTCTTTCATACATACCAGAAGCCTACAGGCCAATTCTGGGCATAGGCAAGACAGAGGAAGAAATAGCCAGCATCATAAATCAGGGCCTAATCCAGTAACCCTCAGCTTTAGACTGTCAGAGCAGCATGAAACAGAGCTAGCCCCCGTGGCTCACCAACCAGGCAGACAGGACCAAGCAGTACTTGTTGTGTCCTTCCAAGATGCATCAAGTCAATATCCCAACAACCTGCATTGGAGCCAAAGCAGGAGTCAAGGCCAGGCAGTCTCAGCACAAGAGTACCATGAAAGAGGCCTTAAATCAATGCTCCTATTGGAGCTACTGGAAAATAGAGGGAAGGTTAAGCACCTCAACCAACCGGGCCCAGCAAGGGCATCATGTAGGAGGCCTGAGACCTCCAAAATCTAGGACACCCAATTAGAGATATTAGATCAGAGAATGAAGGCAACTCCTACTTGTATTTTCTGATCAAGCAGCAGCCAAGGAAAGGCCAAGACCAAAAATTACATTGGGTCACCAAGAGCCAGGCTCAGAACCAAGGATTTTGGAAGAGGCCAGGGCCTAGTCTAATCACTAGAATTCATTCATTACCTCCTGAAAGAAACTCCAAAGTGAAAGCATGCACAAACATAGATAGCCAAGGAAATTTTCAATGGAGAAGGCACTAACAACAAAGGCCTCATGCAGGAGTTAGTATTGAGCAGAATCTTAGGAAACCTAGGATTTTAAGGACAGAAGTGCTGAAAGGAAAAATAAGGAGGGGATCTATACAAATCAACTTCTATAAGAGGTTCAGTTATCTGTGGTGAAGATACAAAATGATGTAATAATGAGTTTTTTATGTAATTTTCCTCTGAGAATTGCTTTTACTGACTCCTGGGAATTTTGACAGGAATCAAAGTAAAGCTCACTAGCTTACAATATGCAAACACCATCACAGCTGGGTCTCCTGCCTGGTCTCCAACCTTCCTGAGGAAAAGGAAAAATGCCATTGTATTACACTGAATGCCCTTTCTGGTCTCCACCCTCCCTCCATGTCTCCTGTCTGATCTCCTACCTCCCAGTCCATTGAGTATCAGACTGCTCTCTTGCAGGGAAGGGGCAATTCCATCAAGTCTCCAGTCTAGTCTCATGTCACTGCAGAAGGGGAGTAACAATGATTCCTCAGCTCCCAGCACTAATCTTGCCTGGACTGACAAAGACCGTAGAGAACGCTCTCCTGAGGCAAACTCTTAAGGACAATGAAAACCTAACAAAACTCATTCTTCAACGGTTAATAAACACTTCCTGATCATACTCTCCCTATCCCAGAGACTATGAACCCCCTCCTCTATCCTTCATGCCCAATCCTTTATTCCCAATCCCTTCAACTCCTACCCCTATCCTTCATGTACTAATCTAAAGCTATCCACTCCTTCCACTGTGCTCCCTCGAATGCCTGCTCTGCATGCAACAACTTTGCTTTCATTTTTAATTTTTTCCTTTCACACTCCATCTACTCTTTGGCTCTCACTGAGACCTGACTTAATTCTCACATCAGCCTCCCTAGCATCTCTTTCCAGTACTGGCTGTACCTTCACTCATTCCTTCTAACTAGTCCAGATGGGGAAGTTGGGATACTCCTTGCTCCTCACTGCCACTTCCAAGGTCTTCATCTAGCACTATCATTTAGTAACCTCTCCCCCTTTGAGATTCACTGAATCCACACCTATCACCTAATCAAAATCCTAGTAGCTGTTGTCTATCAACATTCAGAACAGACCTCTGCTTTCCTCAGAGTTCAGTGCCTGACTCACAGTCTTTCTCTCCTCCATAACTCCTGCCCCCACACTAAGGAACTTCAAAATACCCACTGATATTCCTTCAAACACCCTAGTTTCTCAACTTGCTCAATTCACTAAATCTACTCCTCTACTCTACCTCAGCTACACACAGAGTTGGTCATATTCTTGATCTTGAAATCATCCAAAAACGCACCAAGTCCACGTTCATGAACTCTGAAATTCTCTTATCTGATCACAACCTATTTTCATTCTACCTCTCTATCTGCCTTAAAACCTGAAACCTTATTTTTCATCCATCCTGTGACCTCCATTCTCTTGACCTTTCAGTTCTTTCACAGGCCATTTCCCCTACCATACTCTCCTCCCTTAAATTATTTTGATCCCTTGGTGAACTAGTTCAACTCTACACTATTTATGAGTCCCTTGCCCCGCCAAGTGTCAGCTTTGGATCATTCTCTCCATTTGCTGTGAAGGAAGCTGGGGAAAATAATGAAATCATGCTGACTGGGTCCACTACAAATTTATGTTAAATAACCTCAACTGAATCCTCACTTACACAAAGCAACCCTTTGGCACCTCCCTAATAAACTCACTATTTCCTGTTTGGAAAAGTCCTTCATAACCTGGATGTTTCCTACCATTCCAATCTTCTTATATCTTATATCCCACTACGTATTCTTCAATCCAGTGATCCTCCTGGTTGTTCCTCACACAAGATACTCCATCTTCTGACTCCAGGCATTTTCACTACCTGTTCTCCATGACTGGAATGCTTTCACTCCTCATCTCTACCTCCTGGCTCTCCTGGTTTTCTTAAACATGAGCTAAAATCACAATCTACAAGAAGCATTTCCTGATCCCCCTTAATTCTATTGCCTTGCCTTTGTGAATCATTTCCAATTTAACCTGCATATAGTTCATACACAGTTGTTTACAAATCATCTATCCCATTAGTCTGTGAGGTCCTTGAGAGCAAGGACTATCTTTTGCCTTTCTTTGTATCCTCAGTACTTAGCATAGTGTCTGGCACATAGTAGGCACTCAATGAATGTTTACTGAGCAACTGACCAAAATCCAGAGACAGCAAATAAAAAGAAAAGATACTGAAAGAAGCCAGTAACAAAGAGTTCAAGTATCAAGGAGTACAGTCAGAATCATTAAGAACATGCCGCAGCTACTCTAAAGGAGAGAAAATCTTGGAATCACACATCAAAAGGCAAAAGAAAAAGACTTGCAATTAAGAATAACTTACCCTTTAAAACAGAACTAATCCTACAAAGTAAAAAATGAATCGTTAGCACAACGGAGGACTTTGAAGAACTCTTGATGAGAAGCTTCAAGCTGGGTAGAATCTTTCAAATGCAAACACAGGAAACCTAGAAGAGTAAACACATTCAAGTAATTAGAAGGAGCTAAAAGATGAAGTGTCTACATTCTAATACAGAAAATACAAATATCTTTTCAAAATCCCAATTGTCTTTAGGGTCACAGAAAGATTAAAGTAAAAAGATCACAGAGTCTAGAGGTGTTTCTTTAAAGAATAGTTTAGGGAAGGAATGAGGAAGAAAGGGGGGAACTTAATAGTTTTACATAGTTGGGAGGCATGAGAAGAGTATGTAAAGTAGGATCAGGGGGGTAGGGGGAAGGAATCTCATGAATCTTAGCCTTGCTTATTAAGCCTTAATCACTGAACAGAACTTGTGCCTCCAGGGGCCAAGATGGTGGAGTAAGAAGTAAGTCACTCTCACTCTCCCTCATTGACCTCTAGAAGCCCAAAAAATATCAACCCAGGGAAAATCCTGAGCCAGCAAAAAGACCAGGCACTGCAGTTTTGTAGCCCAAGAAACTTGGGCGATTAATGGGAAAGACCCCTCATGCTCTGGGGGAGAGGGAGCAGTACAGGACTGGAGGCATCCCAGCAAGCCAGCGGCAAGCTCCACTCAGCATACCAGAGGGAGATCCTAAGACCCAGATTGGTGGAGCAGGCAAGTGCCAATACCAGAATCCCACGACAGCCTTAATACAGAAAGGGGAACTGGTAGACTCCAGACACATTCAAGTGTCTACACTCCAGTTCCAGAAAACCACCATGGACAACTGTGTTCTCCAGCAGCGAAGTTACTGGTGCCTCAACACAACTCTGGGAAGCATAACTCCAGAAGGCAAAGTTCCAGGCTGACAGACACCTACCAGCATTGAAACATCCCTGTATAAGGCCTGGGCCAGCAGAAGCCAAACATTCAAGCGCAAGGCCTGGGTGAGCAGGAAAAGAAGCTTGGGTAAGTGCCCCCTTCACTCCAGCAGAAGAATTCAACATTTTTTTTTTAATGTCAGGAAACAGGCAAACACCATGAACAAAAAGCAGAAACAGAAAATGACCACAGATTCTTATTTTGGGGAAAGGTACAAATTCAGAAGAGGACAACATTGTCAATATGCCCATATCCAAAACCTCAAAGGGGAATATGAACTGGTCTCAAGCCCAAAAAGCCTTCTTGGAAGAGCTCAACAAGGATTTTAAAAGTCAAATAAGAGAGGTAGAAGAAAAACTGGGAAAAGAAATGAAAGGCAAGCAAGAGAGAGTCAATAGCTTGGAAAAGGAAGGAAAAAAATTAACTATAGAAAACAAGTCCTTAAAAAGTAGAATTGGCCAAATGGAAATGGAGGCACAAAATCTCACCAAAGAGAAGAACTCCTTAAAAACTAAAATGGGCCAAATGGTAAACGAGGTACAAAATCTAATAGAAGAAAACAACTTGTTAAAGTTGGAGCAAGTGTAAGCTAATGACTCTATGAGAGAACAAGGATCAAACAGAAACAAAAGAATGAAAAAATACAAGAAAACATAAAATACTTCATTGGTAAAACAACTGACCTGGAAAACAGATCCAGGAGAGACAATTTAAAAATTATTGGTCTACCTCAAAACGATGATAAAAAAAAAAAAAGTCTGAACAACATCCTTCAGGAAATCATCAAAGAAAACTGCCCTGAGGTCCTAGAACCAGAGGGAAAATTAGTCATGAAAAAGTATCTACTGCTCACCTCCTGACAGAGATCCCAATTTGAAAACACCAAAAGGAATATTGTAGCCAAATTCCAAAATTACCAGATCAAAGAGAATATACTGCAAGCAGCCAGAAAGAAACAACTTAAATATCATGGAACCACAGTTAGGATTACACAGGACCTTGCAGCTTCTACATTAAGAGAATGGGGGGTGTGAAATACGATGTTCCATAAGGCAAAGGAGCTTGGATTACAACCAAGGATCAATTACTCAGCAAAAATGAGCATAATCTTTCAGGGGAGGAGTTGGACTTTCAAAGAAATAGGGGACCTTCAAATCTCCCTGATGAAAAGACCAGAGCTCAACAAAAAATTTGACCTTCAAAGACAAGACTCAAAGAGGCATAAAAAGGTAAATAGGAGGGGCAGTTAGGTGGCACAGTGGATAGAGCACTGGCCCTGGAGTCAGGAGGACCTGAGTTCAAATCTGTCCTCAGACACATGATATTCAGTAGCTGGGTGATCCTGGGCAAATCATTTAACCCCAATTGTGTCACCCTTCCCCCCCCCAAAAAAGCAAATAGGAAAGAAAAACAACAACAACATATTATTAATAAGGGTAAACTGTTTATATCCCTACATGGGAAGATGACACTTGTAACTCTTGAGAACTAAAGTATTATTATGATATTTAAAAGAGGATATACTTAGAAGGTGTGGGTATAAGTTGATTCTGATGTGATGGTGAAAAGGGATTGTACTTGGAGAAGAGGAAAGGAGGAGGCAGACAAGGATGAGTTACATCACATGAAAAGGCACAAAAACCTAATACAGTAGAGGGAAAGAAGGGAGGGAGATGAGCATTGTTTGAACCTTACTCTCATCAGATTTGGTTCAAAGAGGGAATAACATAATCAGTTAAGTACAGAAATCTAACTTACCCCATAGCAAGTAGGAGAGGAAAGAAAAAAGAAGGGAGGGAACAAGTAGAAAAGATAAAGGGGAAGAAAAGGGAAGTGGCTAATAGAATAAAGGGCAGACTAAGGGAGTGGAGGTTGAAAGCAAAACTACTGGAGAGGAAAAGGGAGAAAAGAGAGAGAAAAGCATAAATGGGGGGAGGGTAGAAGCAGCTGAATAAGATGGAGAGGAAGACACAGACAGCAATCATTAATCATGACTGTGAATGTGAATGGGATGAAGTCTCCCATAAAACAGAAACGGAAATGAAACAGATAGTAGAGTGGATTAAGAACCATAATCCTACAATATGTTGTTTACAAGAAACACATTTGAAGCAGAGGGATACACACAGAGTAAACGTAAAAGGCTAGAATAGAATATATTATGTTTCAGCTGAAGTAAAAAACAAAAAAGCAGGGGGTAGCAATCTTGATTTCAGACAAAGTAAAATAAAAAAAAAACAGATCTAATTAAAAGAAACAAGGAAGGAAACTACATCTTGCTAAAAGGTACCACAGAAAATGAAGTAGTATCAATACTAAACATATATGCACCAAGTGGTATAGCATCCAAATTCTTAGAGGAGAAGTTCAGGGAGTTACAGGAAAAAATAGACAGCAAAACTATACTAGTGGGGGACCTCAACTTCCCCCTCTCAGAACTAGATAAATCTAACCACAAAATAAATAAGAAAGAAGTTAAGGAGGTGAATAGAATTTTAGAAAAGTTAGATATGATAGGCTTCTGGAGAAAATTGAATGGGGATAGAAAAGCATATACCTTTTTCTCAGTGGTACATGGCACCTACACAAAAATTGACCATTTTTAGAGCATAAAACCTCACAATTCAATGCAGAAAGGCAGAAATATTAAGTGCATCCTTTTCTGATCATGATGCAATAAAAATTACATGTAAAAAAAAAGGCCATGGAAAGATAGACTAAAAATTAATTGGAAACTAAATAATCTAATCCTAAAGAATGAGTGGGTTAAAAAATAAATCATAGAAACAATCAATAACTTCATTCAAGAGAATGACAACATTGAAACAACATACCAAAACTTAAGGGATGCAGAGAATGTGGTCTTTATGAGAAGTTTTATATCTCTAAATGCTTACACAAATAAAATACAGAAAGACGAGATCAATGAATTGGGTATGCAACTAAAAAAGCTAGAAAGAGAACAAACTGAAAATCCTCAATTAAACACCAAATTAGAAATTCTGAAATACAAAGGAGAGATGAATAAAATTGAAATTAAGAAAACTATTGAACTAATAAATCAAACTAAGAGCTGGTTTTATGAAAAAACCAATAAAATAGGTTTATTTGATTTAAAAAAAAAAAGAAAACCAAATTACCAGCATTAAAAATGAAAAGGATGAGTTCACCACAAATGAAGAGGAAATCAAAACAATAATTAGGAGCTACTTTGCCCAACTGTATGCCAATAAATTTGACAATCTCAGTGAAATGGATGAATATTTACAAAAATATAAACTGCCCAGATTAATGGAAGAGGAAATAAAATTCTTAAACAACCCCATTTCAGAGAAGGAAATTGAACCAGCCATCAGTGAACTTCCTAAGAAAAAATCTCCAAGGCCAGATGGATTTACAAGTGAATTCTAGCAAACATTTAAAGAACAACAAATTCCAATACTATATAAACTATTTGGGAAAACAGGTGAAGAAGGAGTCCTATGAAATTCTTTTTATGATACAAATATGGTGCTGATACCTAAACCAGAAAGAGCCAAAACAGAGAAAGAAAATTATACATCAATTTCTCTAATGAATATAGATGCAAAAATTTTAGATAAAATATTAGCAAAGAGATTACAACAACTTATCTCGAAGATAATATACTATGAGCAGGTAAGATTTATACCAGGAATTCAGGGCTGGTTCAATATTAGGAAAACTATCAGTATAATTGACCATATCAATAACAAAACTAACACAAATCATGATTATCTTGACAGATGCAGAAAAAGCATTTCACAAAATACAACACCCATTCCTATTAAAACACCAGAGAGCATAGGAATAAATGGAGTCTTCCTTAAAATGATGGATAGTGTCTAACAAAAACCATCAGCAAGCATTATATGTAATGGGGTTAAGTTAGAAGCATTTCTGATAAGATCGAGGGTGAAACAAGGATGACCATTATCACCACTGTTATTCAATATTGTGCTAGAAATGTTAGCTATAGCAATTAGAGAAGAAAAAGAAATTGAAGGAATTAGAATAGGCAAAGAAGAAACAAAGCTATCACTCTTTGCAGATGATATAATTGTCTATTTAGAGAATCCTAGACAATCAAGTAAAAACTTACTTGAAATAATAAACAAATTTAGCAAAGTTACAGGATATAAAATAAACCCACAAAAGTCATCGGC